GGCAGGGAGAGGAGAGAGACCAGCAGAGCAGTTTGGGGCTCAGAAGCTGGGCTGACTAGAAAGAGAACAGTGGAGCTATCTTTCAGGGGCGCTTTAGGCTGTGTGGACTAGACTGGGGTCAGAAGAACTGTTTAACTCTTTCAAGCCAGGGCAGAGAACCACTGGCTAGTTGACCTTCACCCAGTAAACACCTTTATTGGTGAGGAACCATATGCTAGAGTAAGGGTCATGGAGAAACAAGGAGAGTAAGAATCTGAAAGGCCAGGGTCTCAATGTATGCTGGACACCATGCCTGAGCTGGCTTCGGGGGACAGTCTCAGAGATCAGACAAGGCTGTGGCAGTCCTGAGCAAACACCTGCTTGGTGGGGACTCTGTGACATCACTCCAGTTTCAGTCTAGCATCAACAGCAATAAAGATACAGCTGTGTAGAGTGTTGACGCATAAAGCAAGTACTTACCCAGAGTCCCTTGCAGGCTTGAACAACTTATGCTGAAGTCCTTACCGCAGCATCTTGTTACCTACAGTAGCTAATTAAACCAAGTGCAGAGATGTCTCCCCATCTTGAAATTACACCTTTGAATGCAGCATAGATATATGATGATAGACACTCCCTGTGCCCAAGAGCTTATAATATAAACACTGCCATTTTCTTGAAACTTGAGACACAAGGAGATTAAGGGCTAGCTCTTCAAAGGTATTTAGTTGCCCAACTCCTACTTAAACATCTCACTTCCACTGAAGTCAAATGAATGTAGGATATATCAATGCCTTTGTGGCTCTAGGCCTGAATGACTTGTTCAAAGTCACATAGGAACGCTGCAGCAGAGCCAGGAACTGAACTCAGATTTCTTAAAACCCCATTCAGTGCTTTAACTACAACATCATCTTTCTTCAGGACATAATTCTAATTTTTACCTTGAAATTTGCCTTCAAACTAATCATTGCTATTTCTGCATTGCCTTCAGCCTTACAGTGATTTTAAGGCTAATATTCAGCCTGAAGTGATCCTGAAGCATTTACTGCAGTAAAAGTGGAGTGAAAAGCATGGATAATGCTAGCTTGGCAACAGTTGGGCTTTCCTTCAGCTCACCTAATGGAGGAGTCTTCTCATGATTTTGTAGGGCTTAGTGCAAGTCTCAGCTGCTATGGGGAGTGCTTCTTACAAGGTCATCTAATCTAACCGCAAAACAAGGGCTCTGCTGAGCATCTGGATGCAGCATGAGGAGTACAGTAGGTCAGATAATTCTATCATTTTCACTTACCATTTGAAGAACACCGAAATATGCCAGCAGATACCCAGACTCTGCTGCCTCCAGTCCAAAGAAATCCATAGAGATGATGGAGAACATAATCAGGAACAAACCTGAAGAGTAGTTATTGAAAAGAAAAAACTTTTGGAGGACTACAGTTATAGCACAATATTATCATACAAATAAAGGGCCAGACCTTGCTATCAGCCATTACTAGTACAGAGTCAATGGATTTACTTTGGGCTCCCAGTGACTGGGTGTAGATAATAGGTGAATCAGGCTCAAATGCAATCAAATAGATTTTCTGGATTTTTTCAATCTTTAATGTGAGTCTATTTTTTAAATCTTTAATATCCTTATCACTTTTACCATTGAAGAAATACCTCTGTAACAGAGAGCCTGGGGCTCCTTGTATAAAGGCAGCCCAGCCAGGGACCTCTGCAGGCTAGCAGCCGCAGGTTGCCTGGGCACCAAGCTACTGGACAATTAGCAGACACCTGCAGGTGGTCAGCTGGCCAGAGATAGACAGGGCCCTGGGGGCATATAAAGCTGGGGCTTGGGCTGGCAAGCCAGTCTAGTTCTGTCAGCTGCAGGGTTAGCAGCTCCTGCCCAGTAGCCCCAGCAACCCAGACATGCTAGATAGACTGCTCTGCTGCCTTCAGGAACACTGAGGCTTGGGAAGTTCACAAGGAGCCTGCACTGGGAGGTACACTGACACAAGAGGTGAAAGAAGGTTTGCCCTCTTAAAGGGGCAGAGGGCTGCTTCCATTATTGTTGTTTATGTTACTGTTTCTACCGGCTGTTTGGGTTGGCATTGTAAGGGGAGCTAACTGGAGGTCCCATTAGTGTCTGAGCGGCACATGACTGCCTTGAGTCCTGTGAAGGGAAGGCTCAAGGCCCTAGTGAGTATTGAGCACAGAGCAGGTGTAGTGCTAAGTACAGAGTGAACAGGGTCCCAGTGCCCAAGAGGGTCCCAGTGCCCAGTGCCAGGGGCCTGGTGCCCGAGAGGGGCACAAGCACATAGGGGCCAGGATCCCAGCAGATGGGGGCCAAGGGCCCGATGACTAGAAAGGGATGAATTAGAGCTAGCGCCTCAAAGCCAGGTCCAATATAGTGGTTTAGCTAAAGTAAAGGGGTGGAGGCCAAAGCCCCAACACTGACAACAGTAACACCCATGAGGCATGGGGCATGGTGTAGGGAAGGATTTGGAGTCACACAATTAGCCCTTAAAGCTTTGGGTGCCCTGCAGGGCACAGTTGACTTGAGAAGCCCTGTGAGGGGCCTGGGGCCCAGTGAGGCCCAGTAGGGTGCTGGGGAACCCTAGTGGAGGTTCAGGCAAAATGGGGCCACACAAAGACCTGC